GTGCCGGGGCGGGCGACCCTCCTTGGGCGGCGCGGGGGGGCCCTCGCCAGCCCCCTCCGCCAGGTACTCCTGGCTCTTGGAGATGGCGGAGGCCGGGGGGGCCCGCGGGCCGTCCCCCAGCAGCTCCTGCGAGCTGCTCATCAGCCTGGTGCGGCCGCCCAGCCCCGGGGGCGAGCGGTAGCCGGGGGCCGCGGGGGGGTTCGCCGCCTTCTCGGGGGGCTCCTCGGGGGCTTCGCCTGTCATGGCCACCTGCAGCTCGCTGCTGAGCTCGCTGTCCTGGAAGGTGGTCATCTTGGGCGACTGGCACTCAGGCGGCTCCGGCGGGGGGGACTCGATGGCCAGGACCTCTGGGCACGCCGCTGCCGCCGCCTTCCTCTTCAGCGTGCCGGGCTCGTATTTGCCCAGCTCGGCGCGCTGCAGCTCCGCCAGCTTCTTCACCGCCAGCATCAGCTTCTTCTGGTGGCCTGGGGACGGCACAGGGCATCAGTGCCGCTGCAGAGGGCTGGGGCCACTGCAGCCAGCCTTGCGGCACGGGACCTTACCGAGCTTGGTGATGCCGATCTCCTGCAGGTCCTCCCAGGTGATGTCGGTGATGAAGTCGATGTTCTCGTAGCCATTCTCCACCAGCACCTTGTAGTACTGGGACAGGCCGATCATGGAGAGCCACAGCGCCAGGTTGGCCTGGAGGGGGGACACGGGGCACGGCTCAGCACCAGCTGGCAGCAGGGTCTGGCCCTGGTGCCCCTCAGCACCACAGCACCCACGCCACGCAGGTGATCCCATCTTTCTGGGGGACAGCCCCAGGGGACTCCCCTTGTCCCCGCACTGTCCCTGTTCTCCACGAGCACCCAGGGCCATGCCCAGCCCCATTCCCATGGGAAGCCCCTTGCTGCGCCCACCCGATGGGGCAGGAGGGGGGGCAGGAGACACAGTCTCATGGTCTCACGTCCATGTGGTGACAGCTGGCACCAGCCTGATGGTCCCCGAGCTCTCAAGAAGGAACGTGCGCAGCTTCAGGACCGTGGGATACCGGCATCATCCGGCAGCGGTGAGCGAGCTCCCACCCTCGTCCCCCTGTGCCACCCCCTCCCCAGAGGACAGGGCAGAGGAGACTAGTTGCCACCCTGGATGTGGCTTTGGCGTCCCTGGCCCCACGCAGCCCTTACCGGCTTGTACTCCGGCAGCCATTCGGGGATGTTGAGGTTGTTGATCTCGGAGGCGATCTTCTTCCTGTGCCCCGGCTTGGTGACACCAATAGCCGTGAGGTCCTGGGGCAGAGAGGGGGGATCAGCGCTGCCCCGCACCGGCCATGCTTCCCTCCCCGCGGCATCGGCCAGCCCCGGCGTCCCCGCGGTCTCACCTCCGGTGTCATTCGGCTAATGGTGGTGATGTCATAGCCGGCGTTGATGAAGTTGGGCGCGTAGAGCTGCAGCTGGAACTTGCAGAGCCACTGGTACACGGCCTCTGAGCTCTGGGGTGAGACGGACAACGTGGCTCGGACCAGCCCCAGGACCCGCCACCCCTGCCTATGTCCCCCAGGCTGTCCCAGCACCCATCCGTGTGGCAGCAGGATGCCCCGGCTTGGAGCTGGCACCGCAGAGGGGCTGCGTGGCCCTGTGGCACCCCGGGGAACACGACTGTCCCCCGGGGTGTGCAGGGGGCTGGTGCCGTGGAGAGGCTGGCGGCAGAGGGGTGCCGGCAGCCGGCAGCCGCAGGGATGATTCACGCCACTGATTCACGGCACGGCACAGCACCCCACGGGCACTGCCATCACAGCCAGCGCCCAGAGCCGTGCCAGCCTTGGTGGCCGCATCGTAGGGCTGCTGAGGCACCTGTGGCTATGGGTGCAGTAGGGTGGCCCCTCCGCATGGCTGTGCCTGTGCCCCCCCACACCTCCCCTGACCCCAAACTCCACTGCGGGGTTCCCCATGCCACCCCAGCGCTCCCTGCTCACCTTCCCCTCTGATGGCGGCTCCATCTTCTTCAGCTGGGGCTCGGTGGGGGGCTGGGGGGCGTATGGGGAACTGGCCACGCTCTGCGACCGCGACGAACCTGCCGGAGAGGCAGTGGTCAGCGGGGCTGGGGCTGCACACCCCCGGGCTCTGGCCAAGCGAGGCAGGGAGCCGAGCCCCTGCCCCGGCTGGGATGGCACAGCCACAGCCCCTGGGTTGGCAGGGCCGGGGCAGGTATGGGAGAGCAACACGTGCCCCAGCACAGCAGCCCAGAGCACCCCGGGGTGCCCCGGACACGGGGGTCTGCTCCCCTGGGACAGGCAGGGATGGTGCGGGGCACCATGCCCAGGCACTGCCGTTGGGTTGCAGCCCTTATTACTTAATCCTGGTGAGGCCGGTGGTGCCGGCACGGGACTCAGAGCGAGGGCTGTGTCTGCACGGGGCTCGGCAAGGCGCCCGTGCCACCAACACCACGGTGTACACAGCTCCCAGGTGTGCCACGGCACTGCTGGAGCAGCCCGTGCTGCTGCCCTTGCCCACCCGCCCAGAGCCAGACGAGCCCCCCAGCCCAGTTAGGGCCGAGGTGCTGCAGTACCCTCCACCCAGTGCAGCCCCGAGGAGAGGGACCCAGCCGGACCCCTCCTCCAGAGCGGGTTTCCCTGGCTGCCCACTGCCCCCAGGCTGCAGCCAGAGGGGTCCCGCCGCCCAAAGCCCTCCAGCCCCGCTACCAACCCAGGACAGGGCTCATCCACCCGCTGTGCCCCACAGCGAGGGGCTCAGCTGGGGGGACAGGCTGGCACGAGCTGCCTCATCCCCTGGGATGCCCACACAGGCAGCCCCACGGTGCCCACCCTCCAGCTGATGCCTTCACCAGCCCTGGGGGTGATGAGGGACGCCCAGAAATTTCTGCCTCATATTTCTGATCGGGATCAGCCAGAGCAGCTCCTTTGCCCCCCCCTCCCATCGACCCC